GGACCCGAACTCGATGGGTTCCGACCCGATCCTATCGAGTCAATTTTTTTAAAAAATCGTTTCTGGTCGGGTTGGATTTTTTTAATGTGATGTTAGGGTTTAAGGTGAAAAATATCCGACCCAGAAAAAATATATAATTTTACCTTATATATTTAGGAATAATTAAAATAATACCCCTCTATATATTATTTTTTTTCAATTAAGTCACTGTTTATATTGAATAAAAATAATATTTTTTATTAATTTGGGTCGGATCGGGTCGGGTGAAACTTTGTTTTGGTCAGATCGAATCGGATCGAGTCGGATCTCGAGTGGAAGATTTCTTGTTATCGGGTCGAGTCGGGTGGACAAAAAATCCGACCCAACCCGACCCATACCCATCCCTATTTATAATTCTATTATATGGTTTAACGATGGTATCTTTTGGTCTTTGTGTGTGTAGTTGTTGAAGTGCTGGAGAACTTGGCGTACTTGGCAAATGCCAGCAACCTGGTGTTGCATCTGTCAAAGTACGTGCACTTTTCTCCATCCAAAGCTGCAAACAATGTCACCAATTTCATGGGAGCCGCTTTCCTTTTGGCTCTCCTCGGAGGCTTCTTATCCGACTCCTTCTTCACTACTTATCACATCTACCTCATAAGCGCGCTCATCCAGTTTCTTCTAAACATTTTCTCAACCCATCCAACTAATTTTTACGTAGTTGCATGTCATCCTGCACTATGATTTTGCTTGAAAAGAATAAGGATACCGAGTGTTGAAGCATTAAAGACTGGTTCCGCCACAGGTGCAAGCTCTTTGGTGTATAGATCCAAGGAACACCGTTTGTTCAGGGCATAAATATCGAGGTCTTGTGATAAATGTCCATAAATATCTCTCAGATCCAGAAACATAACAACATGAGATAAAAGGGCATCTTTCATCATATGATCAAACTTACAAGCCTTGAAATGCCTTGAAAAGAGCATCTAATTTTATTTGTTGACCAATTAGATTTTGTAAGCAACATAAAAGTCGTACATGATAAGTGTAAATTCTGGCGTGGGGAGAGATAGACCCGTGTTGTGTTGGGGCCCCCTGGGGAAGACAGATGTCATGGAATGTAGTCAATAGAAGCCAACGCCTTGGGATTTAGGGGGAGTAATAATAGTATCTCGTGTTGCAACAAGAGAAAATGTCCTTTCACAGTTTCAGCACAGATGGTAACATCAATCTTGTCTTGTTGATTTCAAGCCTAGCCTATAACAAATATACTCAACAGGTGGAAACATTTTTAGCTAGACAGGTGCCACATGAATGTCAAAATCGTCCAAAGCAGAGAAATTGGGTGAAGAAAATCGAATCCATTTATTGTTTCTTCAAATGGGATTTTGTTCTTATCCCGAAACTGAAAAATGACAAAAAGATGTGAAGCAATAGTTTCTCATGTTAGGCAGGTTTATGAACCACGTGCTTAATCTGAGATCCGGTGGACCCACGACTGTTCCTGAAGTTGGACGAAATAGAGTTATGACCCCAATCTATCTAGGCTTTTTTGGATGTTGATATCAAATCGGGGACACTGGCTAATTGGACTGACGTACCAAATTAAAACCTTGTAATATAGAAGTTAACAAACAAAATAATGAATAATTCCGGTCACAAAATTATATATGCCTAACCAATTGGTGCCATTGGAGCAGGGCTTGATCATTCTTACCATCCAAGCTTGGACACCATCACTAAAGCCCCCACCATGCAATCCATCTATTCCATGCGAGGAAGTTGATGGCGGGAAAGCAGCTATGCTGTTCATAGGCCTCTATCTGGTGGCACTTGGTGTTGAGGTATAAAGGGGTCCTTGCCAACACACGGCGCTGAGCAGTATGATGGAAACACCCCACGAGGAAGGCAGCAAAGATCCACTTTCAATTACTGTCTTCTGTCTCTCCTGTGGTGCGGTTATTGCCGTCACATTTGTTGTGTGGGTTGAAGATAATAAAGGATGGGAGTGGGGTTTTGCCATCTCAACAATTGCAATACTGCTGTCTGTCCCAATCTTCCTCTTTGGCTCAACGTTTTATAGGAACAAAATACCCTCTGGAAGCCCACTTACAACAATTTGCAAGGTAAATTCCGATTTCATTTCATTACTCTACCCTGATTGTTTTCCTATGCATGTGTTTTACTTGATCAGGTTTTGATTGCTGCTATGCTCAACAGTTGCATGAGCAGAAATCCAAGCAATGCCATTGCTAACCTTTCCGCAAGCCCTTGTTACCAGACTGAAACCAGCAATGAAGTAGAAGGCAATGCCGAACAAAGCAAGGAGGCAGAGCAAAGCCGTCATTTCCTAAACAGAGCAGTGCCCAACTCCAACAAGCCAGCTCACCCAGCACTCGAATGCTCAGTGACACAAGTAGAACAAGTTAAGATTGTGCTTAAAATACTTCCCATATTTGCTTGCACCATTGTTCTCAGCTGCTGCCTAGCTCAGCTCTCCACATTTTCAGTTGAACAAGCCGCGACCGTGGACACTAAACTTGGTTCTATGAAAATTCCACCAGCTTCACTACCAGTTTCCTAATGGTGTTCATCATGATCCTGGCCCCAGTTTACGACCACTTGATTATCCCATTTGCTCGGAGAGTTACTAAAACCGAGATTGGCATCAATCATCTGCAACGAATTGGGATTGGTTTATCTCTCTCCATATATCCATGGCGGTAGCAGCACTTGTCCAAATTAAAAGAAAAAAGTGGCAACTGACTAGGGGCTACTTGACTCAGCCGCTCCATTACCCATTACATTTTTCTGGATTGCTTTGCAGTATTTGTTCCTGGGGTCAGCTGATCTTTTCACCTTGGCAGGGTTACTAGAATTTTTCTTCACCGAGGCGCCCTCAAGCATGAGATCACTGGCTACATCACTCTCCTGGGCTTCCTTGGCAATGGGGTATTATCTAAGCTCCGTGATTGTATTGATAGTAAATAATGTGACTGATAACTCAGGCCATTCGCCATGGCTCTCTGGTCATAAAATAAACCGCTATCATCTGGACAGATTCTACTGGCTTATGTGCGCGCTTAGCTCATTGAATTTCTTGCATTACCTTTTCTGGGCCATGCGCTACAAATACAGATCAGCAGGAGCTAGCAAGAAGTTGAGTTTGATCAAATTAAAATCTCACATTTTGGGAGAGAAAGAATTCTGACCATTGCAAAACAGCCAGATTCGGTGCCTACCGGATATTGGTAATATGTCGGTGAAACTGGGGGCTCAAAAACCTTGGTTACTGTATTTGTGTATGGTTAAGTTTAATCTCTGTTAAAAAAATCTATGGAACATGGTTTTCCTCTTATTAGATGGAAAATTATTGGAAAATTACACTGAATTAAAAGGAAACACTGAAGTAGAATTTTTACTTTTATGAGAAAAAGGTTCAAGCTTGAGTTGGCAGATAATAGCCCGGGGGTGCCAAGTTGGCATTGGTGGGTCCATACACCAGCAGATTTGTACTCGAACATCATCAACTGAACCACGCTCGCCGTTTTCAAAACCACCATCCTTTGGTTCATCCCGAACGAGTGAGTCGTAAACGGCTGCGAACGCCGCCCCCTGCTAGTAAAGCGACAGCGGAAAGCAATCCCGAATCTCTGCCCGTACACCACGGACACAATGGATGGCCATATGGAGTTGGACTTCGGATCCAAGTAGTAGGGGCTCGATGGGGTATAATCCTGTGAATACTGAATACGTAGCTAGTATGCGGATTGCTACCCCCTACTAATATCCTCCCTTCTGGGAGAAGCATTGCTGCTGAGTGGTACAATTTTGGTATCTTTGACGGGGATAAAACCTTAAATCTCCGATCAGCGTCCGAGTAAAGAACCGGGTCACATGTCTTTGTTTACTCTCAGCCTGCCACATGTCATCGACATAACTTTGTTGTTGGTAGGGGTGTAAACGAGCCGAGTCGAGTTTGAGTATTGTTGAGCTCGACTCGACTTGAAAACTCTGAAATAGAGCTCGACTCGACTTGAAAACTCGCTAACTTAAAATTTTCAAGCTCAACTCGAACTCGAAATCCTGAACTGAAGCTCGTGAGCAGCTCGAAAAGGCTCGAAATGAAAAAAAAATTCTTACACTTAACTCGATTGAAGCTTCAAACTCAAACATGAACCTTAAATACATAAAAAATCTTACTGTATTTAAAAAAAATTATTATATAAATATTAATATTATTAATAATTTATTTTCTAAAAAATAAAATCTTAATCTATTATATTTTTGAGCTGCTCACGAGTTTTTCGAGTTAAATATCAAGTAGCTCGTTTCGGCTCGTTAAGAACTCGAGCTCGAGCTCGAGTCGAATCCATTCGATCCGAGTATTTATCGAGCCTTAATCAAGTTGATATTGAGTAGCTCGCGATGGCACTTATAATTGTGTGGAGGAGATTTAGAACAGGCTGCTGTTTTTCATATATTTGGCTTAATATTAGCAATTATCCTTAAATTTTGTTTAGGAAAGATTGGTATTAAGGGTTGTTTATTTGTCTCTTAATGAATCATTCAGTGTTGAATGCTGACTCGTTCAGTATTCAGCGCGTTTGTTTCGCACCTTTAAATGATTAAGTGCTAACTGATTCAATAAAACAGTGATGAATGATTCAGTAAAACTGAATAATTCAGCACAGAAGTACATGCTGAATGATTCAGAGTCATTATCAAACATCATGTCATATTCAGAGCTAATTCATACATAGTCTCTGAATCATTCAACGTTTAATCATTCATTCAGCGCTTAATCATTCTGAAGTATACAAACAACCCCTAACATGTTAAAAAAATATTGAAATTAAGGCAATTGTTTGAGTGGGATGGGCTATCAGGCTAAGTGGAATGGGCAAAATGGTGAGGGCCTATCCTGATACGGATCTAACTCGGGCCGAAGTAACCCAGATTGAACCGCCCGAAAAAAAGCAATCAGACGGCGTAGAACCAGATCGAACAACCCGATCAGATTAATAAGTTCCGTTAGCAAATTGGATCTCCCGTTTACCAGGCACCAGAGACGATATATAAAATTAAAAGAAGGGGCCTTTGATCTCCGATCAGGTAAAGCTATTTACGATTTCCTTTTCTATTCATCTAATTTAGTCATTCCTTTCCCATGTCTGATCGAACGCAAAATTTCCGTTCACATTTTTGTTTGTGGTTTCATCTTCGTTTTTTTTATTTGAAAATTTTGTCTTGCTCTGGAATTGCCTGCTTATAAATTTTCGTGATTGGTTTATTAGTAAATAAGGATTTTTAGATTGTTCACTGCTTAATCCAGTATAACCGTTTCATTTTAGTGATTTTACTTTGTCAGAATTATTTATTTTTCTTCTCGTTTACTTCAACTTTATTGTAAACAAAAGTTTAAGGTAATTCATAGACTTAAGGACAACATTCTCTTAGAGAAAACAATGTTATTGTTGGAAAGGGTAATGTTTGCAGAGTGTTTTGTTCCTGCAGCTTTCTTACATTTACCCTTCAGTTTTGTTTGAGAAAAATCGAGCTGAGTTTGAAAGTTCAGAATAAGAAACCAGCCTGAGAAGTACATGTTTTTGTAATGATCTCATTCTCTGTTACAATTTGTACTTCCAGTATTCGAGTTGTAAAGTATCTTTCGAATTTGATTTTGCAGAAGCTGATTTTGGTGGAAACTGAAAACAATGAACTTTCTGCTGTCACGGTCTAATCAACAGGCAACGCCAGAACTGCCTCCTCCAGTACCAGAAGAGGTGCCGGAGCCTATTTCTGTTTCTAATTCCGTGACATCATTGGAAGGGCTTATAGCTGAAGATCAATTTCCAAAGTACCCTACAGTTGCAAACCATGATGCACAAGCCATTGGATATTTAGGTGAGAATGCTGGTGTTGGGAATGATAAGAAATCTTCTGTCCCTGGGGATCACATAGATGTTTCTGAAGAAGATGGATGGATCACTATTCCAAATAGTAAGTGCATTCTAATCACTAAAGCTGGTTAATCTAAATAATACTAGTTTCTCAAATATAGAAGTTAAATGACCAGTTTTGCTGGAATTATGTTAGACATACTTCAACTTGATTAGAATTTCCTTACATGGCTTGTTTACAAATTATGTTACACAGTTTATCTGATATTTCTTTCTTGTATGCCTAATCTTGATATGCATTTGTAGAGGATCTCCCTGATGATTGGAATTGTGCATCCGACATACTTTCATTACGTTCCTTGGAACGTTCTTTTGTTTTTCCTGGTATCTTCGTCTCTTCTATCGTCTTGCGTCTTTCAGATTTAGCATACTGTTGATTTGTATTCATTTCCAGATATGTACTTGTAAATTTAAACTTAAACCTATTTTCTTCTTCAGGTGAACAAGTTCATGTTCTAGCATGCTTATCAGCATGTAATCAGGAAACAGAAATTATCACCCCATTTAAAGTTGCTGCAGTGATGAGTAAAAATGGCAGGAGAAAGGGTGCTCGGAAACAAAATGGAAACATGGAGGGTGTGACAAATCCAGTGCCTCAAGGAGGGGATGTGAGTCCTCATGGTGCAGTTATGGATCAGAATGGTGACAATTTGGGGAAAGATAAGATTGATCCTGCCAAGGATGTCTCTGCTAGTGAATCATTTCTTAGAATGGAAGATTCCAGAAGACAGACTGAAACACAGTTGAAAAGGTTTAAGAACTCCCATTTCTTTGTCAGGATTGCAGAGTCTGGTGAGCCTCTCTGGTCAAAAAAAGGTTCTTCTGGGACAGCTTCTGAGTCATCTGAGATGGACAGCCAACAATCTATTGCAAATGAAACCAAAAACAATGCCGAGAAAATATCTACACAAAATGCAGTAATTGACATAGGGGATTTTGATGCTGGTGTTTCTGGAGGAGTGGCTAGAGATGCTATTAAGTGTTTCTCACTTTCCAATGGAGACATAGTGGTAAGCATCACATAAATGCTGGAGACATTTTTTTCTTAATTTTTTTAGCTGACGAGGTGGGGGCACCATTTCTTAGTATCTTGATTTCATGTAGAACTCTTTGCCTTCTTCCATGGATTAACTTCTTAAGGCAGGATAAAGAACTTCTATGACATAATTGAAGGGAGGTAAAGATTGACATTTGTTAGTTCAGTTTAGGACTATATTTTTCAACATTCAAAATCTTGTTAGAAATTTGGGGCATTCAATGAGTAAATACCTGTTGTTTCATTTTGATGCTTGCATATCAAGGTCCTGCTGGCCAACCTAAAAGACACTGCCACTCTTGTAGACTAAATGTGATGAGATTGTGTTTTCATTAGGCTATATATTGCAACCTGGGCATTGTCTTGTTCATGTTTGTAGGATTTTTCAAAAAGCCAATCCAGATTTTAAACAGCTTTCAGCAAACTCATATTCTGCAATTTTTGGCAGAAGGTCTTATATGCCCCCTCCCCCCTTCCTTTGTAATTTTTCAATTCATTTGTTTTAATTGGCATATTAGCTTGCTACTTACTGATTCTCATTCTATTTCTCTGTTTGGAAGGATGCAGGTACTTTTAAAAGTGAATGTTGGTGTTGATTTTCTTAGAGATCCTGTCATTGAAATTCTTCAGTTTGAGAAATATCAAGACAGAAACCCTTCTTCTGAGAACCGGCACAACTTAGTGTATGCAAATCAGGACCCATGCAGAGAACTGTTGAAATGGTTGCTTCCTCTGGATAACACTCTTCCCACACCTCCCATTTTATCCCCCCTTCCTTTAGGATCTGTTTCTGGAATCAGTAGCACATCTCACAGGTCCTCTCAGCTCTTTTCTTTTAGTAATTTGAGAAGTTACTCCATGTCAGCACTTCCTCAAAGTGTTACACCTCCTCCTGGACCTGTTAAAGCCCAAAGTTCTAAACCATCATTTGACCTTAATGAGGTGGATCATTCCTCTTCTCAGAATAATTTAAGAGGTAAAAACTCAGGGATTGAAGAGCTTTTATCTTTTCGGGGTGTGTCACTAGAGCGAGAAAGATATTCTGTCCATTGTGGATTAGAAGGGATCCATATCCCAGGAAGAAGATGGAGAAGGAAACTTCAAATAATTCAACCCATTGAGATCCGTTCTTATGCTACTGACTGTAATACAGATGACCTTCTTTGTGTTCAGATAAAGGTAAACTTTAGTGTTCACTATTCTTGATATAAGTTGTAAACACTTCATCTCCACTCTTATGGACTTGGTCACAGGGTTCATTTATTCACTATTGAATTTATTTTGCAGAATGTCTCACCAGAAAATATACCAGATATTGTAATATACATAGATGCTGTATCAGTTGTTTTGGAAGAGACTTCTAAAGGTGGACAACCTCCTTCCCTACCGATTTCATGTATTGAAGCTGGAGATGACCATAGTTTGCCAAATCTAGCTCTGAGGTTGTTTTCACTGTTGGTCCCTTAATGATATTCTTCTGATGGCTTTTTGATGTTTAGCATTTTAGCATGATGGTTAAGATATCTACCCCAGAAAAGAAAAATATAATCATTGTTTTCTGCTATCCAGAGTTCCAGACATGCTTTGTTACTTCTCTCTTATTTTCTTTTTACTCTGAACAATAAAGAAAGAGATAATTCATTCATAAGACTCAATACATCTTATAAAGCATAAAAGCCCACACACTAGCTGCCAGCTGTAAAGTAGCTGAATAACAAATTGTAAAACAAACTCCGAACAAATTGCACACGTCACATCACGCAGGTAACGTTCATTTAACATCCATGCAAGCTGCCAATGCGTTCAACATGCATAAATCATCATATGATAACATGCTTACTTAGAATATGTGTCACAATGTCGCTAGTACTTCTTTGATGAGCTAGAAAGCCTAACTGTCGTGGAATATTGAACTGTAAATTAACAACAAACCTTTGTTCAATGAGGACTTCCATTGGTGTATACATATGTTTATCTTATATCTTGAATTGTGTTTGGAATTATTGTTTAGTGTGTTGTATCTGCCATCTCATGGTGCTGGGGAATGGGAAGGATTGTCTATCCTCATGTCTTTATTGATGGTTTTGTTGCAGGAGGGGTGAAGAGCACTCTTTTATTTTAAAACCAGTGTCTTCCATATGGAAGGATGTCAAAACTTATGGAGAAACATATAAATCGTCTGGTTTGCAACCCCATTCCCAGACTTCCAATAGGAAGTGGAGTGTTTCGATTGTTAACCACTATGCAGTTATGGTATCTTGTCGTTGCAACTACACAGGTACGTACATTTCTCTTGGTTTACAGTGTGATCTTGTAAATTGTGTTCACTACATGTACTATCTATTAAGATATAATTTTTTTATTTTACATGTAGAATCAAGATTGTTTTTCAAGCAGCCAACAAGTTGGAGACCACGTATTCCTAGGGATATTATGATCTCAGTTGCATCAGAGATGCCAGGACGACATTCTGGACCCGTTGAAGGAGTCACTCAACTTCCAGTTCAGGTTTTATACAATTTGATTCTCCCTCTCTCTCTCTTTCTTTCTTTCACATTCTATTCATCTAACTATGACAGTTCTCATTAAACTGGTATGATTGTCAGGTTTTAACTCTTCAGGCTTCAAATTTGTCTCCTGAAGATCTAATTATGACAGTTCTTGCTCCAACGTCATCTACCTCACCTCCATCTGTGGTATCCTTGAATTCTCCGACAACTGTAGTACAAAAACCTGGCTCAATGGCCACTATATCTGACAATCAGAGAGGGAATGGTGATGCTGGGGCTAGGTTTACATCTTCCTATGATCAGTTGACTCCGATTGATGATTTCATTCCAACTTCTGGTTTGGGATGTAGTCATCTCTGGCTGCAGAGTCGAATACCACTAGGGTAATTCATCACTTCTGTAATATTGTTTCGAATTATGATTATACAAATGGTAACACTGACATCAATTGCTTCAGACGTGTTCCTGCACAATCTACGGCAACCATTAAGCTTGAGCTACTTCCTTTGACTGATGGCATAATCACTCTTGACACTTTACAGATCTATGTTAAGGAGAAAGGTATCCATTTGTTCAATTTTCTTGTTCTGTTATTTGCTTTGCCCATATAATTGGATTATGTTAGAAGAAGTGTGGGCTAGTGCTTCTTTTATGGGATCTATTTATGATCAGATTGCTAGTCATGTATTAACATCATGTCATGTATCTGTGTTTGACATTGAAAGGAAACCTCTGCTGAGAGGGACAAAAATGCATGCCTTTTATGTATCTATTTCTTTATTTGGTAGAGCATGCGACTTATCTTCCGGGTATGTAATGCCTAAGGCCTATCCAAATACGGAGATTTTGTTGACGAATCCATTTTTGGTGCAACAGGTCTTACATACATCCCTGAGCAGTCATTGATCATAAACACGACTTCTAGTGTCTCCACAGGGATTATCTAGGGATGGGTTGCAAATTGTATTTCTTTCTTCATCTTGTTATTTATAGCCGTCACCGTCAACAAGGATTTCGAAGCGGTCATTCCAATTTTGCAGAATCTTTGGTACACAGACAAGTGAGCAGAGTAGTGAAAAGGTTTTCTCGTAAACTTCAATCTTGAGAATGACATTTGTTATGATACACCCATTGATGGTGGGTAAACAAATGTTGTTTGTAAGTAGATGAAGCTAAAGGTGTGAAAACTTTATTTCTTGCAAAGAAATGTGATCAGGTAACAGGGAAGTCGTTAGACAACCACGTTGTTACACTTTGAAAATTGTGAATTTGTAATCCTCTTGAGTGCTATAACTTCTCCAGTTTCGTGATGCTGCTGCTATTTATATTTATCTACGCCTACTCTTTTGCCAAAGCTTTGCGGATAAATGTCATAATCATTCAACAACCCTCGAATTCGTATTAGCAGCTCTATATTAAAAAAAAATAGAATTCATATTTCTGAAGATAATAAAACCTGGATTGCTACCACTTTTTTTTTTAAATAATATAATCGGAAGATGATCAGTGAAATTTTTATAGTAGCCTTGGTCTTGATTTACTTTAGTGTTTTTTTTTTTTTGAAGAGGCAAGAATTTTCGATCTACGCCTGAGGTAGGCGGACAGGTCACCATCAGCGTAAGACCCATTATTTTCCTTTTCTATGACAGCATCGCACTGCCCAAATTATTTTGCCCTTCCCGCTGCCCGGGCAACCCCACCCGTTGCTTATATACCTCCAAAAATATGTTAATTAATGTAAACCTTTAAATTGAAATTAAGAATTAAAAAAATAAAAATTGGTTGTCCTCTGATTTATGAGTTTTTTTCTTAATTAATTCGGATTGATTTATTTTGTACATATGATTTTATTAAATAAGTCTCTCAACAGAGATTTTCTATATATACAATTATTCGAATTTAAGATATACTTAATGATATTAAATTTCTTACATTTAAATTAAATTTCGATAGTTAAATTAAAATTATTAGTATAATTGTATAAAATAAAAAAAATTATGTATTAAACTATCATTAAAACAAAACTAATATATACATTTAATATTCTTTTCTTAAAACAATGACATAGAAATTTAATTAATTATAGGTTAATTTATATCCAAATCACCATTTTCAATCATTAATAAATGACATAATATCTTAATTAGAAAGTGAAAATAATCTAATTAAAATAAAAGTTTAGGTGGAAAGAATCAATAATAACTAGGAATATGGTGGTTATCGAGCAAGTCGATTGCGAGTTGATCAATGTTCGATTCATGCTGTTAAAAAAATTTATTGCTCGACTCGACTCATTGCTCGTTAAACTCGTTAAATTTTTTTCTCGATTCGAGCTCGTTAAAAAAATTTATTGCTCCACTCATTACTCGTTAAGCTCACCGAAATTTTTACTTTATTTTCTTAATTATAGGTAAAATCTATTAATACTACCCATAGCTTAATATAAAAATAATTTAATAAATTTAACCAAAAATGTTATCAAAAGAATGTATGAAACAATTTCAAATCTAAATTTCAAAGTAATAATCCATAAATACATTTAAATAATAAATATGGTTTGATTTTTTAGTACAGTAAAATACTAATTAATATATTAAAAAATTAATAGATTAATAATTCATCATCTTTTCTATTATCTATTAGTAAATTAATATTTTTTAAATAAAATAATTTTTTAAGATAACTACTAAAAAATTATATAAAAAAATTAATGAGTTATTTGTGAACTTATAGAATCGAGTTAAATTTTTTTCTCGAATCAATTCGTTAATGTCTCAAATCGATCTCAAATTCAAATAAAATCACCCCGAGTTAAATTTTTATCAAACTTTGATAAAATTAAATTCAAACTACTCATATTATCATCCCTATAGGAAGGGAACTAACTACAAGAAGGATATTGAAGTGAGAGTTATTAATTTATTCTCCTAAAATAAAGAAGCAAAAATGGAAAACCAAAGTAACAAACTTCAGCATTTCCAGATTCCATAAACATTCCAATTTTTCCTGCTTAAGATTTTGGTCTGGTTTCTCTTGTTTTAGCTTTTTTAAAGTTGGGGCTTTTGGGTATTAATCTTTGACATTGTTAAATTTGGGTTCCTTCAGATTTGATGGGTTTTCTTTATTATGGTATGACAAATCGTTAGGGTTAGAAGAAGAGGGAAGATGGGATTGGGTTTTGAGGAAGGAAACGTGAAGTATTGGGATACGTGCAAATCAAAGGGAAGGAAGAAGAAGAAATACAGTGAAAAAGAAGATCTTGATGATCAAGCTGCCGTAGAAGAAAAAGGGTGTTGGGTTAAGTTCAGATTTATTGGAAGCTGCATTTCTTCAAGATTCAAAGTTGATACTTCTGTTAGTGGCACCAGGACCAACTATGGTGATTTTTCGTTTTCTTGCTGATATGCTCTGCTATTAAATTGTGCAGCTAGCTCTTTTCTTTTCTGGGTTACCTTTTTTCTCTCTGAGTAATATTCTGCTGGATGAAGTGATATGTTCATTGTCATGATCATTTATTGATTTGAATGCTGTGATGCTAGTTTGTAAGTAGCTTGGAGATGATAACAGGGAAGCTAATTTAGCTTGGTGCACCATGTAAAATGGTGCATCCAGCTTAAGGTCTAACAACTCAAGCAGTGTTTTTTTTTTCTAGTTATGATTGCTGTCAATTAGTAGAGTTGAACTAGTTAACTATCTTTAGAAAATAATAAATTGGATTTCCGAATTTTATTTAATATAATGAGAGTTTAGCCCGAACCTCGAGCTTCTTAAATATTATAAAATGTGGAAATTACTATCCTGGATCGTTTTGAACCTTTGTACACATGAGCGATATTGAAATCTGGACATAGAGATTTAATGTGATAACTGAAGAATCCCATTGTAAACTTGGTGGTTTGCTGAACTTCATGCATGATGTAGCGCCAAATAAGTGCTTATATGAAGAAAATCTGGTGTGGTAGTTGTTTCATTTTAAGTTTTTGAGAAGGTTATAAATGATATATGGCATTGATGAGAAAGAGCTAGTGTCAGATACATGTTGAATTTCAAAGATGCTTTACAATCATATATATCAGAAAGGGTTTATATTATCAGCATACAAACTGCGTTGTGGCAACTTAGTTCCCACAATGCAAACCCTAATCTCTTCCATACTTCATGTTTTTCCTGTAGGGAAATTATATAACTTTTATCTTGTAACATGTTAAATCTGTTATGTGATGAACAGATAGCAAATCTGCCTACGATACCAGTAAAGATCAACCAACAGCTCCAGTTGTCTCATCTACAACCACTAGCAATGCAGAAAGTAGTTCATCTACTTCCAAACTAGAAGATGAGATTAAAGTTGCATCTCGGTTACGGAAGTTTACATTTAATGATCTAAAGTTGGCAACAAGGAACTTCAGACCTGAGAGTCTTCTTGGTGAAGGTGGTTTTGGTTGTGTTTTCAAGGGATGGATCGAAGAAAATGGAACTGCTCCAGTAAAACCAGGCACTGGGCTTACTGTTGCTGTTAAAACACTCAACCATGATGGCCTCCAGGGTCATAAAGAATGGATGGTTTGCACATTTCCTCAGCTGTTTCTCCATTACACATTCATATCAGTGGCTCAAGTTTTCTTTCTGTTTCTTCTAAGTACTTGATCTTTTGTTAATTCTTGGATCATCAATTTGGCAGGCTGAAGTGAATTATCTTGGTGATCTCATCCATCCCAACCTGGTTAAACTTATTGGTTATTGCATTGAAGATGATCAGAGACTGTTAGCTTATGAGTTTATGCCTCGTGGAAGCTTGGAGAACCACCTCTTCCGAAGTATGTATCAGCTAATTTGTCTGTGAATGATTTTGTACTTCAGAATATTCGTCTTTGATGCATAATAAATGTTCATTCAAAAACTATGTAAAGTTGGGTTTCACAGCATTTCAGATGAGGAATGGACTGTGTTCATTGATAATCTGAGTAAGAGGGTTACTAGAAGTGTGTTAAGAGATTATTTCCGTCCTTATGGTCAGATTTTGAGAATTTACATCCCACGTTTCTTAGATAAACCAAATTACAAGTCTTCAACCTTTGCTTTTGTTCAATTTGCTGGTGAAGAGAGTAGACAGAAGGCTATCCAGTATGTTAATGGAAAGTGGATTGAAGGGAGAAAAGTCTTAGTAGGAGTTGCTAAGTATCATAAAGTAAAGACGAGGGAAGCTGCCGAAGGGAAGAAGATATTGGAGAACAAGTCAAGGATTCAGGGATCTTCACATCTAGGGAGGAATGCGGATTCGGTGAGAAGCTTGAGAGATGGCAGATCGTTTAAGGATGTCGTGAATACTGATCTTATTATCAGTAATGAATCTGTTTCAAAGGAAAACTTGGAGGGTTTTAAGTAGAATGCAACAGGTGTGAGAAATGTATGGGAGATGTATATACCGTTGGACAATTACAAGTGGGTTAAGCATTCATTAACAGGGATATTGAAGTCCTCCTTCGAGCAAGATTCATTAAAGGAAGCTTTGGAGATACAGGGTGTGGGAGTTCAAATATCCAGATGGGGCTATACATGGAATGCCTGCATTATTACATTCAATACGGTGGAGGAGTTCTCATATGTATGGATGAATAAAAAAAATGAGTTGTTATTATGCTTCGATTGGTTAGCTCCTATGCTGAATGATAATGGAGTTTCGATGGCCCTTTGCCAAGTAGAGATGCTTGGAATGCCTCTGTTGTGTTGGAATGAGAATTTCATTAAGAAACTTACGAGGAAGTGGGGTAGTTTCGTTTATTTTGATGAGGATTCAAAGAGAAGTTCTGATCTTTCGCTGGCAAAAGTATTGCTAAGGGTGGAAAGCCCTTTTGATGTCCCTGAAGATGTTACAATAGGTTCCTATGGCAGGTCGTTTAAAGTTAAAACATCGTTGGGGTCAATCTTGAAAAAACCAGAAGAACCGGCTTGGAAGATGGGTGAGAATTTTTCAAAAAAAAAAAGAACAGTATTTTTCCCGGTCGGTGGAGGATAGCCGGGTTCCTATTCTGGCAACAGCTGTCAACCATGATTTATCAGAGGAGTCCA